GTGCAAGGGAAATTTCTTCTGAATGGTTCCCCCTCAAAAGTGGTCATATATTTAGAAGGCCCACCTCCAGGCACTGATATTCTCCTCGATAAACTCGTCCTGAAGAATGCCCCCAAACCCACGCCGGCATCCCCACCAGTCATTGAGGTACACTTGAATAAAGTAAAATGGTCTTTCATATGGAATGCGAGAAGAAACAAAAAAAGGTTATTTAAAAACTGCTTCTACCTTTTTTCCTGTTTGCACCAGAATCCCTCTTATGGAGTCAATATAATTACCAACAGCAACCTTAGTGACGGCACCAATGGATGGTTCCCACTCGGGAACTGCACTCTCACCGTTGCCAATGGCTCTCCACGCATTCTTCCTCGCATGGCTGCAGACTCTCTCGGGGCCCACATGCCCCTGAGTGGCCGCTACATTCTCGCAAGCAAACGCACTCAGACATGGATGGGCCCCGCCCAGATGATCACCGACAAAGTGAAACTCTATTTGACGTATCAAGTGTCCGCGTGGGTCAGGACTGGGACTGGGGCCACCCAGCCTCAAAATGTGAATGTTGCTCTCAGTGTTGATGGCCAGTGGGTGAATGGTGGCCAGGTGGAGATTAACGATCACCAATGGCACGAGATTGGTGGGTCCTTCAGAATCGAAAAGCCGACAGCAAAGGTGATGGTTTACGTGCAGGGTCCCGATGCCGGGGTTGATCTGATGATTGGAGGTCTTCAGATTTTTCCAGTGGATAGGTGTGCCAGGTTTAGACACTTGAAGGTGCAAACGGAGAAGGTTAGTCAGGATTTCCTTCCTTGCCTTAATAGTTTCGGTCAGTTTATTCTGCTATGGTCGTTTGCTCCTTCAGTACGTCACTATATATATTTTTTTCACAACTTCATGCCTGTTTCTCCATGCAGATACGCAAGCGCGACGTCACCTTAAAGTTCACCTCGTCCGACTCGAACACCCTGGCTGGCTCCTTCCTCAGAATAAAACAAACACAAAACAGCTTCCCCTTGGGATCATGCGTGAACCGCACCAACATCGACAATGAGGACTTTGTCACATTTTTCACCACCTACTTCAACTGGGCCGTCTTTGGAAATGAGCTCAAGTGGTACTGGACCGAGCCCCAGAAGGGCAGCTTCAACTACCGGGACGCCGACGAGATCCTCGCCCTGTGCGAGTCCCAAGGCATCGAGGCCCGCGGCCACTGCATCTTCTGGGAGGTTGAGTCCGCCGTCCAGCCGTGGGTCCGAGCCCTCTCCAAGTCCGACCTGGCGTCTGCTGTCCAAAACCGCCTTTCGGGCCTCCTCACACGCTACAAGGGTAAGTTCAAGCACTACGACGTGAACAACGAGATGTTGCATGGGTCGTTCTACCAGGACCGCCTGGGAACCAGTGTCCGGGCCGAAATGTTCGAGACCTCGGCCAAGCTCGACCCATCCGCCACCCTTTTTGTTAACGACTACCACGTGGAGGATGGGTGCGACTCGCGCTCGTCCCCCGAGAAGTACATAGCTCAGGTTGTGGGCCTCTGGGAGCAGGGGGCACCCGTGGGGGGACTTGGGATACAGGGCCACATAGGCAACCCGGTGGGGCCCATTGTGCAGTCGGCGCTCGACAAGCTGGCCACGCTGGGGATCCCGATCTGGTTCACGGAGCTGGACGTGTCGTCTGAGAACGAGTACGTGAGGGCGGACGACCTGGAGGTAATGCTGCGGGAGGCTTATGCGCACCCGGCGGTGGAGGGAGTGATGCTGTGGGGGTTCTGGGAGCTTTTCATGAGCCGGGAGAACGCGTACCTTGTGAATGCTGAGGGGGAGGTCAACGAGGCCGGGAAGAGGTATATGAAGCTGAGGCAGGAGTGGCTGACGCAGGCGCACGGGCATGTGAGTGAGGATGGTGAGTTTGTGTTCAGAGGGTTTCACGGGTCGTACGATGTCGAGGTTGTAACACTTTCGAAGAAGAAGGTGGTGAAGACGTTTGTGATCGAGCCGGGGGAGGATTCGGTTGCGATAACAGTAAGTCTGTAGTTTCATTGAAAATGAATGTGGCACTGTTAAATCTGTGTTGTTGGGTGTGAGAGGGAAATAAAAATTGACGGGGGGTTGTGATGTTATGTGGATGGTGTCTTGATGTTTATTATAAACTATTTGTTTCCGTTGTAAATTTCAAGTGAATGAAATGAACTGTTGTTTCGAGTTAATGACGAATAAATTCTGAGTTGCAAGTTTTATATATTTATTTTTCCAAGGTTCTCTTCTCTGCTGTTGGTAAAGCTGAAAGCTATTTCCACGAATCTATATACATATGTAGTCACATTTTTCCGTTTACACCTTAATACAGACATGATACATGCATTTTTCTTTACACACTATCCTATAATTTTATTTTATTTTATTTTTCACATATTGTCAATATGTAAGATCGATGTGTAAGATATATAAACAAAAGATAGACAGACAAAGAAAGAAAGCAATAGAGGAAAATAAGAGAGAAGAGATACGCAGTTAAAACCACCATCTTTCATTCACTTCAACCCTATATATAAACGAATATAATGTACATGAGTAAAGACCTAATAGGCTTGTGGTCCATACCTACAAATCTTATATCTAGGTAAAGACCTAATAGGCTCCCTAGTAATTTTTTTTTTCTTTTTTTTTTATTTGTTAAAGAGTATGTGCTTCGGGCACTACATATGAACTTATTATTGTAATTAGCTACAATATAATGCAATGATATGCATCTTATCAAATATACAAGTAAACATAAATAATTCATAAAATTTGTATATTGATTCAATTTTTGTAACATTCTTGTTACATAAATTCATAAAGAATATATTGAATATGGATTGCTGATCTAAAATCAAAAGATCATGAACTTATCCAAAAAATCGACGAGATTATTTACTAGATCAATCTTTCAAAGATACTAGCTAGGTAATTCTTATTCAATTATGGAAATGGTCAACAAGACCAATCCTTCATGGATAACCAAATCTAGGTTAATATGGTATTCAAATTCACTAGTAATACTTTTTATTTATATAATCGTTCAGGGAAACTCAAATCTATAGGCATAAAATTAAACAGGGTATTTGCTTTGCAATTCATGACAAAATGAGAAAATAACTACATGAATACCATTCATTTAGTTCATTAGTCAGTTAGACTAAAGTTCAAGATATTCAAATTGATTTAGTCTCAATAAATTTGGATCACGTCCATACTTAATGCATAAAACAAAGGAAAAACATATGCAACTATAATTTTCTAACTAAATTAATGTCGTAATTTCATATTTTGATAGCTTCACCATATATGTTCCAAATAACTACACAATTCACATTTTAAAATTAATCCACATATGTTTCATGCATTCAGATGTATGGAAATAATAAAAATATGTGGGTATTTTTATTTTATAACTCTTCAGGAGTATAACAATTGAAGTATGAGAGATTTCATTCCATAAGTTATATAATATTTTTCCTCCATCATCGGAAATAATCGTTAACTAGAGGATAATGCCTACTGAACATATCTTACGTGTCTTACCACTTTCAAATCTTAACAAGTAATTAATTCAAGAATAACAGGATACATATCAAACAAGATTTACTCATATACAAAGAATGATGATTAAGTCAAGGAAATATATAGTGTTATAGAAGATAGATAATTTTCTATCATATATCTCACATAAAAAATTATACTTTTGTACATGTGCTTCTGGCACTAATACAATCTCAATGAACTACTTTTATATCACTATTTTTAATATATTGTATCCATGAATATTGATTTGGTTGTATTTCATTATTCTCATGTATTACTTCAGGAATACAAAACTTTATGGTGAATTTATGAGAGATACTTACATCGGAGTTGATCCTTCAAGGAGTATATAAAAACATTATTGTTACCTTATAAAAGATCTTTTAGGGAGCGTATAAGAGCTTTTTTTTCAACTTACAATATATCGATAAGTAAAATATTGATTGACATCTTATAGACAAACGATGCATTGTTTTAATCATTTTATCCATCAATATTTAATATTAGTGTCCTTCTGGTACTACTAGTATTCAATTGAATCTTATACATTTGAATAGATAGATATTCTTTAAATAATACTTCACCATTTTCATAATTGCACAATTCTATCTTCTCGTCCAACAATATTATAAAGATGATCATAAATTGAGCTATGTAGTATCAATAATATATATCCAATATTTCTACCATTTTTTTGTATATAATCCTTCTCTCATATATATAATAGACATACTTATAATATCACATGAATTTTTATAGCACTAAAAATAAACAGAAATACTTTTCAAAATTTTCAATCCTGTAAGTGAAACTATAATCTTGTAGTATAATCCATCCTTTAGAGCATAATTTTTAAACGAACATATAATAGTTCAATAATGACCAAGTTTCACATACATATACGCATCTCATCTAAGATCATGAACAACATTTTCAAGTCCATACATGTTCAATAGATAACTAAAACAGATTTTATAACTCAAATAACTTAATTGTCATCTTTTAGATTCTTATATACATACTGAATCTAGAAATTTATACAAATAATTTGTTATGTCAAATAGATCTAGAAAATTTACTAAGACTGGAAAACCAAACACATCACGTTGTATAAAAATATCAAAGCAATATCATATCTTGTGTCCTCAAAAATTTTTTAAAATTGAATATGTTGCAGATTACAAAAAAATTTTTGCACTACACATACTGACTTGAAAATATCAAACAAATTGTATGTTTCATTTTCTGCACTACGAATTTTATTCTCATACCAAATAAATCATGTTTCATTCTCAACGAATGAATATAAGAAAATAACATAATCCAAATCTGTTGTTTGTACCCAATTTCCATAGTTTCATTTACCACAATATTAATTTTGGGGCCCATAATATTATATCAACATATAGTTAACCCAATTCACATGATTTCAGAATCTGTCAACCATGAGCAATTAATTTAAATAATAATTAAAGGACTTGATGGATTCAACCAATGAAATCATGAATTACAATAATTCACACTTTGATTGCATATGGCGGCACATTCCATGAATCAACATAACTGTTTATATGCAAAATCACATATCTCCGGTCCAACTACAAAACTGAATCCATATATTAACATAAGTAATACCAAACAATGAATTCAATTCCAAAACAACATAAAAAATTATGCGAAAATAAATCGCTGTGCATACCAACCGAATCCATGGCATGATATTCACAATTTAATGAAATTGCACGAAAGTAGCCACGTGATTCAAAATCAAATAAAATTGATTTCCCAAAATACAATATCAATGGCTTTGAATAAATAGATCTTGCATGTCACTTTAACATAAAAGACACGATTCTTTTTTAGGGCATACATTAATTCTGATTGTTACTTGGATTTCCTATTAGTCTTGATGATGCCGTCGTTCGCTTAAGTGATAGAGTACTCGTGTTGATAATGTGTTGTAATAAAGGTTATCAATATGTAAGATCGATGTGTAAGATATATAGACAAAAGATAGATAGACAATGAGAGAAAACAGTAGAGAAAAATAAGAGAGAAGAGATACGCCGTTAACGTCACCATCTTATTCATTCACTTGAGTCCTATATATAAGCGAATATAATGTACATGAGTAAAGACCTAATGGGCTCCTGACCCATACCTACAAATCTTATATCTAGGTAATGTCCACAAATTAATATTTACAACATTTTTCCACCTCACAACTCCCATAACTATATGCTATATAGAAATTTCATATCCAAATGAACTGCATATTTCACAATTAGTGAGATTTTGTTGTACATACGAACACATCCGAATCAAAAGCATAATTAACAATTATCCTAAACACATTCACGCTTTTTTTTTTTTGGTACAAAGAGACTAGGCCTCGGCCTAGCTAAGGGTTTGACGGGGATACGATGCCCCTATGCAATCGTGAACTATCCATTCCTTAAGACCTATCGGAGGTGAAGAGACATAGTGGAACCCAACCGGGTTCAACGCTGCCGTTTTCGCCATGTAGTCCGCCGCCATATTTGCTTCTCGATGGTTATGTTGAATTTTTACCGTCCAATCTCTCTCAATAAGAGCACGTATATTCCGCACCATTTGCGCATGAATTCCATCAGAAGCGACCCGAGTACCCAATAATTGAGTAACATGAATGCTATCCACTTCAACAATAATCTGGCGAGACCCCGATTCTCACGCTGCTCTCAGTCCTTGGAATACGCCCCAAAGCTCTGCGCCCAATATAGTCGTGGGATCGATATTAAACATAAAACCCCCAATCCACCTCCCGGTTTCATCTAGGAGCAGACCTCCCGCAGCCCCTAATCCCGTTCGAGAATTAAATGAGTCGTCTGTGTTTACCTTAATCCAACCCAGATCTGGAGGGACCCATCGAATCATGCACGTCACGGTAGACTGAATCCCTACTCTCTCAAAATCAGCTACCGCCCGTGAGTGGCTATCTGTTAGTCGCATAATGTCTGCTACCTGGCCCTCGAAATTGGTTGTTTTTCCCTGAAAGATCCGATCATTGCAGTATTTCCAGAATCTCCACACAGCAATGGCGAATATGCTGTCCCACTCCCTTCTCTGTCTCGGTCCAGACCCGCTGATGTTCGAGATAAACCATGGCAGCAGTGGCTGCCGAAAGAAATTTATGGCTCGATCTGCCGGTAATAATATGTGCCACACTTTCTTGACGTTTGGGCAGTCTCGTAAAGTATGGAGGACTGATTCTTGCTCCCCACACACATCGCATCCTTCCGTGACTGAAATGTGTCTTCAAACTCTCTCTATGTTGGTAAGTAGTTTTTCTTTCGCTGCAAGCCATAAGAAAGTTCTGACTCGCTGAGGTGCACGAACACGCCAAACCAGCTTCCATATGGATCGAGTATGTGAGTTTGCTGTACCCGATAGCATTTGGTACGCCGACTTAGTGGAGAAGCAACCATCCG